GGATGGATGGATGGATGGATGGATGAATGGATGGATGGATGGATGGATGGATGGATGGATGAACCAATGGATGGATGAACCAATGGATGGATGGATGGATGGATGGATGGATGGATGAACCAATGGATGGATGGACAGATGTTTTAGACTAACTGCAGATAAATCTAGACCCAGATATTTCCCGTCCTGCGGTCCGGTCTGCCTGCTGACCTGAATGACCTGGTTGATGTTCTGGATGCTCATCTTGGTGCCAGTTGCAGAGTGAAATGTTTCCACCTGCCAGCTGAAAGGTTTCTGGAGCAGCTTCTCTATAAATTTCTGAATATTTATTTGTCCTCATTACACTGATCCTGGATTCCTGCATGTTTATTTAAACAGACATGTTTCTGGCTCAGAATAAGTGGAACAGCCGTAGAGACAGCTCCAGTGGGGATAAATTAGCTGCACTGAACTGGGCCAGCGGGTCAGACATGAACTCATGAAAGAACCAATAAAAACTCACTAACCTTGTTGCTAGGGGAACGTTGAGGGTTACTTCTAACTTTTTACGCCATAATTTCACATTTTACAGATTCAAAATCAGAGACTTTTAAGGTATTTTATGACTCTAACTTTGAAGATGTTTTGGCAATAGTTGTCTCCATTGAGAGTTACCAGACAGGAAGTGGGCAGAGAGTCAAAGGGGATGATGGGAGGGACACAAAGCAAAGTCAGAAATCAAACCAGGACGGCTGAGTGGAGGACTGAAGCTTCAGGAAACAGGGTGACAGCTGGACCGCTACATGACACAACGCCCAGATTTAAAATAATTAACTACATTTATATGATGGACATACTTTAAATATGGAAACCACAACAAGCACAGGATGGATAGATGAACGAACTGATAGATGATAAAGAAACAATAGATTGATGAAAAGAATTTATTTGGTTGGTTGGTTGGTTGGTTGGATGGTTGGATGGTTGGTTGGTTGGTTGGATGGATGGATGGATGGATGGATGGATGTTCCAACCAGTGGATGGGTAAACCAAAGGATGGATCAACCACTAGACAGATGGATGATCCAATGGATGGATGACCCAATGGATGGATGAAGCAATGGACAGATGGATGAACTAATGGATGGATGACCCAATGGAGGGATGGATGAACTAATGGATGGATGGATGAACTAATGGATGGATGGATGAACCAAAGGATGGATGGATGAACTAATGAATGGATGGACGGACAGATGTTTTAGACTAACAGCAGATAAATCTAGACCCAGATATTTTGCCTCCTGCGGTCCGGTCTGCCTGCTGACCTGAATGGTCGGGTTGAGGACGATGGAGATGTTCTGGATGTTCATCTTGGTGTCCGTTTCCCTGGCGATGACGTGGTCCATGTGCGTGACGAGCCAGGAGAGCAGCAGACGGCTCTCCGCCGGCACCTCGGCCAGCAGCTTGTGGAACTCCGCCAGTTTGTCGGCCTCCGCTGGACGGCCGCAGGCGTCCTCAAAGCGCTGGGTCAGGTCCCGGACCAGCAGGTTCTCCGGCAGCTCCCGGAGGTACTGCTTCAGCAGGCTGGCCACCGTGTGCGGGTCGTACTCCTCCAGGCAGGGACACTCCTCCCGGTCATAGGCCGCTTTCAGCTCATCCACTTTGGACTTCATACCTGCCACGAAGAGATGAAGAAAGGCTTTGTCTGACAACCAGGGTTCTTGAGGTTTCAACAACTCAAATGTAAGACTTCTTAAGACCTTTCTGAAAGGATTTTAAGACTTAAGACTCATATGGACTGGAAAGAGAAATGAGCCAATGCTTAAGAAAAACAATCTACATTTAACCATGATGGATATAAGGAAATCTAGCTAACCTTACTCTTACGTGAATAATTTCTTGGAGGGCAAATTTTTACTTTTACTACACTAAAAATATGTTGAAGTAGTGCTACTCTTACTTGAATATAGCAAGCTAGCGAGTTGGCTAGCAAGGGTGAAGCTAGTAAGCAAGGATAGCTATCAGGGAGGTTAGCAAACTATCTGCTGTTAGCTACTCTATTTAGCTAGCAAGGTTTACTAACTAGGGAAGCTAACTAGCTAGCAAGGAAGCTAGCTAACTAGCAAGAATATATCTAGCTAGCTAGCTTTTTGCTGGCTAGTTACCCTCAGAGGTGTGTAGAGTACCCAAATAAGTACTCAAGTAAAAGCAGCACTACTTTTGTATATTTTTAACTGTAGTAAAAGTAAAAATTAGCGGTAATTACTCAAGTAAGAGTAAATGAGTATTTGGAAAAAGGTCACTCAAGTACTGAGAAATGGATCAAACAAATTACGTCATCAAACTGAGCAAAACATAAAGTTATGCGGCAATTTTGGTATTTTAAAGATCAAAATGAAGATGAATAACTTATACAGAAAATAACAAAATTAGAAAGAAACATTTTTCCAAATCAGTTTACTTCAATATAAAACTTTTTTTTTGTTTGTTCTTCATTCAGTGGGTAAAGAATCCAGAAATTTTACTCAAGGAAGAATAGTGATACTTCATGATAAAAATAAAGTACGGTGTAATAAAAATACTCCTAAAAGCAAATTATTCCCAAAAATTACTCAAATAAATGTGAGTAAATGTAAATAGTTACTAATCAGCTCTGCTGTTATTGTAACTAAACTTTAAGTCCATATCAACCACATCTAAAAAAAAAAAAAAATCTGAGTTTTACCCTCATTTATTCTTAAATTGTAGTCAAGTCAAGATTCCAGGGCCCAGAAATGGCCCCTGGACCCTACTTTGAACACCTTTGGTCAACATAATTGAATGAAATTGTGTTTTTTAGATAGACTGTGAACTGGTGCTGCATGATAAACAGATTAAACTGGATACCTGAGACTCTGTAGATGCCCTCACACTTCATGCCGTAGTTCTCGATGTAGTCCACGCATTCCCTGAAGACGGCCGGCAGCTGGATGCCGTCGTACAGAGCCGTCCTCTTCACAGCCTCGGCCAGCGGCGCTCCAAAGATGGGTCTGACGGTGGGGGTCTCCACCGGGACCGGCTCAGCCTCGGAGGCTGGCTTCTTCTTCTTCTTCTTCTCCTTCCACTGTTTGACTACGTCGGCGGCCGTCAGGTCCTTGGACTTCTTCTCCTTGGCCTTGTCCTCCTTTGGGCCCTTCTCCTTCTCCTTCACCTTGAAGTCCTTCTCCTTCTTCTTGGAGAAGCTGGGCTTCTTGAACACGTGGATTCCCTTGGAGCGCTTCATCTTGGACGGGCTCTCGGCTTCGTCCGCCGAGCTGTCCTCCTGGAAGGCGGCGTATCCCTCAGCTGCAACACGAGGAAGAAACGGGGTTAAATCTGAGAGGAGGGGGGAAAAAAATCAAACGTTCCTACAGCAGATCGACGACGGCACGAAACAGAAACAGGAAGAGGGTGAAGAGAGAGAACGGGGAAAAGAGGTCAGCCGCTGATTTAGCTCAGCTCCCTCAGCACCTCTCCTCTCTACAAACACGTCGTTTAGGTAGATTTCCAGCCAGTCGACTCTTCCACACCTTCACTGGGAATCATCCACTCCCTCCTTTCTCTCACTGGGTCACTGCACTGCAAAAACACAAAATCTCACCAACTCTAGTTTCTACTACAAATATCTTATTACACTTGAAATAAGACAAAACTAACTTAGAAATATATTTTCAGCAAGATGTGAGAGTTTGTTTTAGATAAATAATTACTTAACATTGATCATAGTTAGCTAGTAACTAGTTACATTTACTCAATTAGACTTAATTGGGAAAAATGTACTTTTAGGAGTATTTTTACTGCACCATACTTTTTACTTCTACTTGAGTAATTTTATTATAAAGCATCTCTTCTTTTGCCTGAGTAAAATTTCTGGATTCTCTACATATTGAGTGAAAAACAAACACGTTTTAACCAAAAATCCACCAGACTCAGACACAGACCTGCAGTTTTTGTTAAAGTTTCACAAGTTTTTTATTGGAAGAAACTGATTTGGAAAATTTTTTATTTTGTTATTTATATGAATAATAATCATTTTCATCCTTAAAATACCAGAATTTCCATTTAACTTTACTTTTTGGTTCATCTGATTATGTAACATTTAATTATTATATGATTGATAATTTGATCAGTTACTCAGTACTTGAGTAGACTTTTTACAAAATACTTTTTTACAAGTAGTCTTGTTGTCCAAGACTACTCGTCTTGGACAACAAGTAGTCGTCCAAGTTGTACTCCAACTTGAGTACAACTTTTGGGTTCTCTACTCCTCTGATATTGATACTACTACTAGTTGTACTGGCAGATTACTTCACTTATAGGAAAAATGTCTTGTTTTTAGAGAAATAAGTATTTTTTTTAATCTATATTATGGAATTATTAGCTTAAAACAAGCTCCTATGTCTTACTGAAAAGCTACTTGTAAGTTAGTTTTGTCTTATTTCAAGTGTGCTGAGATGTTTGCAGTAGAAACTAGACCAAAAATACTTTTGGTATTTAAAGGTTGTGTTTTTGCAGAGTGAGGTTGGAGCTGCTTCCAGATGTGGAAAAATGATGACACAAAGTGGACAAACAGCCCACACTATGGGCGAGAACAGGATGGGAAAGTGGAAACATCTCTTATCTGTTTCCATAAATGCACTGTCCTGCCGTATCAGCAATGTTCAGTTCTGTGCAAAAGTCTTTAACCAGCTCTAATTACTTTAGAGATTACCTATTATGTCTCCGTGAACACGTTAAGAAAGGGTCTTCTGGCCACATAAAACATGTTTGTTACATATTTTGCACAAAAATCATTCATAGATAATAATACTTTATTCTGATCAGTTCTTCCTATTAGCTCTCCAAGGTCCTCCTGTCACTTTAAATCAAAATAAGTTGCTGCTGGCCATGAAACCAACTCAATGTTTGCACTCAGACATGAATATGGCTGCAAACTGACGCACATTTATTATGCATTTAATCTAAAACATTTAACACATTAATGCTACATAATGCAGATTAATCGCTTTACCTATTTTGACCTAAAAGAGTCTTTCCTGTGTAGGGTTACCGAGTTCACAGCAGTGCGGCCTTATATTGTGGTCAGCGACACAGAGTCGCAAACATGAGTAAAAAGATGAGTGAGGAGAGTTAGGCTGCTGTGCTCAGCCGTGAATTTTGCTTCAAAGGTGCAAATATGTGTTTTCCAGGCACATAGTGCTATTTAATAGCATATGTTACCTTCATTGGATTTAAAAGTTCTATATTCATAATTTAACACCTTAAAATTGGACCTCTGTCTTTTTAAAAGCTTCTTCTTTTTCTGAAACTTCCTTCCTTCAGGAAGTCATCACAACATCCAACATCGCTCCTCTACAGAGTAAACTAGTCAACATTACATTTTGTTGTTACACATCAAAATGTTGGTCAGTGTTTCATTTATCATCATTCAAAGCGACTCTGAACAGGTGGGTTTTTAGTCTAGATTTACAGGAACTCAGTGTTTTATGACATTTTTATGATTGTTCCTGAGATGTGCTATACAAATAAAATCAACACTTTCAGAAAGTGAAGCCACATCTTACTCCTTTTCTCCTTCTTCTTGAACTTGTTCTTCTTCTTGCTGTGTTCCTTGTCGTCGTCTGAGACATACGGGTCCGGCGGCTCGTGGTGATGTCCATCGTGGGGCGGCGACGGCTCGCCGGTGCGGTACAGGCCGGGGAACTTGGTGGGGCTGATCTCCTCAGAGCTCGGGGTGCGGGCCACGCCTCCTGGGTGATCGGCCCGGCGCTGCTCAGCAGGGCTGCTGCTGGGCGGCAGGAAGCACTCGGTCATGTCTGGTCTGGTCGTATCGCTCCACTGACTGACACGTCACGCCTCCATCGCACCTGCACCGGTGGAGACATGGGTGGAAATAGGAACAAGAGGAGTCGACACTTTTCCTACAGTAGATTTTAATGTGACCTGATTGACAAGAAGTAACTCTAAAGTGATCAGTGTAATACAGAAGCAAATTATTAGGGCTTTTAGTCCAATTAGTAGTTATTAATCTATTATCAAAATAATCGTTCATTAATTTAGAAATCGAGTAATCATTAACTGAAGATCAATTACTGAAAGAACATATTCAGAGCAGTAATTAAGTCAAAACTGTTTCAGATATATACACATTTTTAATTCAAAATAAATATATTTTATGTAATGTTCTTCTAATGTTAAAGTAGTTAAATGAAAAATCTGCAGAATTTGCCCATTTTTATCAAATTAGTCAATTGTCACAATAATTAATAGATTTTTAAATTAATTAAATAAATGTTAGCTGTAGCACTTTTTTTATTTAAAAAATGTATTCTTTGTTTATTTGTGTGTTTCAATGTATTTATAATATTGCATTTAAAAAGCTTGAGTTGTTAAATGAAAAAGCTGCAGATTGGGCCAATTTTTTATCCGATTAATTGTAAGAATAATCAATTACTTCAATAATTGTTACTGGCAGGAGTATAAATTGTATTAATTTTTAATCTTTAACTAACCTTTTAAATCAAGCAACAGCTGCAGGACTCGATATGATACAAATTATTGCTGAATTAGAATAAAATACAGCTCAAACAGATATTTTATGGTTATCTTTTATATGTATTTGACAAAGAAAGAAACTGTGTCTGTGTGTGACAAACAATCAAAGATACAATTAATCTATATGACTTTGTAATAATATTCTAACTTACCTAATCGGTCTAAATAGAGAAATACGATTTAGAAATATGCCACCTATTAAGTAAAAATCTAAATAGCAACTTAATTTTACTCAGTTTCTTGTGATAAGGATAAAAGTAGTAAAATATTCAATCCCATATCAGCTTAGATATTTTAAAACAAAACATGATTGACACACATTTTCTAACACGTCTCTTAATCTCAGGTGTGGAAACAAAAGCAGAACCGACTAACCTCAGCCTGAGGAAACAGAAATATTACGCAAGTGATTTGCAAACTCCAAACTTAAAGCAAAGTCATCCCAAATAAACAACAACCTCTTGATTGCAGCTGTGGTCTCCACCCAGCAGATGGGGCTTCTGCCATTCAAAAACAACAACATACAGTCATTTATTCATGTGACCCCACCATTCATGTATCTGATGCCTGCAGGCAGCTTGAAAAGCAGGGTAGTAACTTGATTTATTACTGCAGAAACGAAAACAAAAAGGAACCTGAGATGCTGTAAAGTGTATTAGGAAGCAGATGAAATGACCCTAAAAGGAGATGTGGCTTCAAGGACGAACGCAGCTGTTATCTGTAAAGTAAAAACATGGCGCAGTACAACAATACAGAAATGACCAGTTATACAAACCACTGTGTAAATATAACACTGGCTTAAACTGTAGAAAACGACTAATCAGCATCAGCAGCGTCAACTTTAATCTCCCCCTTGTTTGCTTTGGTAGATCGACATCACAATTTACAATTAATTTCTGCCCTATTTGAACAGACTAACTCCACACAGCCAGTCCTGTTTAATTATACTCCTGTTATAATACCACAATTTGTTGTCAATGCGTATTTTGAAGCATATTTTCCTTTAAACAGCCATAAAGTGAAGCTCTGGTCTGAATGGAGAAGGGGCCCATCTGCTAACGTTACTTCAGCTAGCTGGAAACATGTCGGTTACGACAAAACCCGCTGATATATTCATAAATACTTACTGGTTACCCTCATAAATTCACAGGCAGATGCAAAAACTTATTTTCAGACAGTCGTTCTCTAATTTTTAGAGGGTAAGATTTAAAAGAATATAAACTTTACAAAGTCTTGGTCGGGCAATCCCACAGTGGAGCTTCCTGTTGTGTGTATACCAAATAAACTCTACAGCGCATGCGTGAATACACAAGTGCGTCATGGGAAATGAAGTTAAAATGGATATTTAGGTAAAGCAGACCAGACAAGTACAAAAAAATTAAATATCTAATATCCTGAGGTAAGTAGTAACTACTCAGTTTACTCAGTTGCATTTATTTACGTAACCTTTTTTTGGGGGGGGGGGGGAAATTAGGAGTAGTTATATTACACCATACTTTTTATTATAGTGAAGTGTACTTTCAATAGAAAATATCTCACTTCTCCACCCACCGTGAGTTACTTTACTAAATGAAAAACAAACATGTTTTAAACAAAAATTAAAATGAGACTTCTTATTTGAACACAAGCTTTGTTGTTATTTTGTTTTCTGTCTGCTGAGACTTTTGCGTCATTTTGAGGTCAAGAAAATACAATAAGTTAAATATTTCGACATTAGCACTTCTCCGTGTTCTTCATAGATACGGTATATAACCTGCTGAACTGTTAATTAATTAGTTTTAATGAGGAAAGACAGCGGCGATGGACAGTCAGTAATAACTGTGAAATCGTGGATTTGTAGCAAACACTTTTTACAAGGTAAGAAGATTAGCGTTCATACTTAATAAGTAAGTGTGATTAGAAAAACCTTAAATATTGCATTATGGAGAAGCTACGTCTAGTAATTGGTAACCATGGAGACAGTGCCGCTCCGTCATGTAGCCTAGCATGTATGAGAAAGAAAACTAGTTAGCATTTAGTCTTTTGTAGGTTTTTAATGCTTCTCCGGTGTCAGGAGAAATGTTGTTTACGACATGGTGATATAAATCATGCGGTGTGAATTCAGGTCGGTAATTTGATCTACATATCAAGAGGGAGAAGGTATGGGTCGGTTTCTAAGCTGGCTACATCCAATTTTTGTAAATACCGCCGTCTATGAGCCCGAACAGGTGTGTTATGTTCACAGACAAATTAGTTTGACTCGAACAAGTAGAAACCATAAATAAACTGGGGAAAAAAACAATTTGGGAAAACAATTTTAATCTCTCTGTTCAACACTCCCGTTCCTGACGTCCATCATGGCGCCTAATGATTAAGTGACTTAGTTGCAAAGGGTCCATACAAAGATACACAGTGTTACAAATTAAATGCCTGATTCTGACTAAATATTTTTGCAACACAGTCAAAACATTCTTGAACATTTGTTATTCCTGTTGCGTTTAGAGGCACGTTTCCATATTTTTAAATTAATAAGGAGTTGGGTCAGGGAAGTTTATGCTAAGCATCATCTGTTCATGTCAGATGCTGGTTCTTAAACTGTGTGATGGATAAGTCAGATGGCTCCTCTCCTTTTTATCTCTCAGTGCTGATTCATCAAACCCCAGGATGTTTGTCCCCTCCGTTCGTCTCAGTCCATGTTTAATGAGCTGCAGATCCAGAGGAGGAAGCAACATTACGATCGTTTGGCCTTGGAATGGCTGAGCTTCAGCTTAGCCATTCAGCAAGTCTTAAATTTGTCAGGTTTTTGTGAGGTTAACAAAATTACACCATAAAACTTAAACTTTTTCCATCTAAATAAAACAGAAACAACCAAATCTGCTCAGAAGACAAATGTAAAGTTTAAAAGGGTGTCATTACTTTGTTGCAGTGTGCAGACTGTTAGTAAAACCGATTCGATTCAGTTCCAGCATTTCCTTCCTGCTGGATTTATTTCTAGACTGAGGTTTCACCATTTAGAAACTTTAATTTTCCTCTTATGAGTCTGTTCTTCTGTTGAATTGGATCAATGCTCAGCTTGGTGCTTCAGTAAATTTATCCACAAATTAAATGAAAAAGATATTGTTCTTCATGTCCATGATCCAAAAGTGTCACAATGCTGAGATACAAAATCGGTATTTTTTTTGTCTGATACCGTGTAAATAAATTTATACTTAATATTAATATTTATATTTTTAAAAGTTCTAGTTCTACTGGAAGATTATATAACTTATAACAACATATTCTCTCCATGTTAAAAGTAAAATAATCTACCAGAGAAACTTAATACTTTTTTATTCAATATTAAGAAATTATTGACTAAAAACAAGCTCCTATATTTTGTGAAGTTACTTTTGAATAATTTTTGTCTTATTTCAAGTGCACTAAGATATTTGCACTAGAAACTAGACAAAATACTTTGATTTTGTGTTTTTGAAGTGTTGTCTCAGTAGTTACCGCATTAAACAATAATAATGTTCTTGTTTTCAGACCATTTTCCAAATCTTATAAAGTATTTTTGATCTAGTTTTTAGTGCAAATATCTTAGAGGAGTTTGTTTTAAATTAATAACTTTCACTAGCAGATTAGTTCACTTACAGCAAGTTAGCTTTCTCATGTTTTGCAGTGAAACTTATATTGACTTAAAACAAGCTCCTATATCTTACTGAAGTCCTGTAAAATAGTTGACAGGATCAAGAATAGTTGGTAAGATTTTGTGTTTTTGTAGCTCAAAGTTGCTCTTGAATTTTTATTCTAAAATTGTGGTAATTTTTAAATCCACCTTTATATTTATCCCCTGTGATTATTTAACCCAATAATGCAGCGTCATCCCATACCAGGACACCCAAACAACAAACATTACAGGCGTGGTGTTTGGACTCCTTCAGGTTTTACTGCCAGGTCTGAGCAGTGCAGAGATAAATATCCTCTGTGTTTCGGCCAAATTAGGTTTGGAGAATGTTTAGACTGTGGTATCATTTTGATCTCGGCTTCACTTCTGATTTCTTTCAGGTGGTGGAACTGTCAAACAGAGCTCTGAGCAGCGGTGCAAACTAAATTTGGGGAAACCATTTGCTATTCTGAGTCACGCGTATTTTCCCAAGGCTCTGTGGTTGGGATTTAGAGCTGGTGGTCATCGGGACATATGAAACAAATTAGTCCTCTGATGATCTTTTGTTGGCTCCGTCTGCACCCCAAACCACAGCTGCAGTGGCGAAACGAGGTCAGGGCTCGATATAATAATTAAAAAGAAAGGGACAGACAAGGTTCCTTTGTACGCCTGCAAGATGAGTCTGTGCACGTTGCTGTGGCATGCCAATTGGGAACATAATCAGTGATAGGGCGTCCCGCTGCTTTTTCAAAGTGCACTGGCACAACAAAGAGCATTTGTGTGCGGTGGCGAGAGATTGGCATCAGGGAATGTTTTCCTCTTGGCTTGCATGAGATGGTCATTGAGAGCTGAACACCTGTGGACCAGAATGGAAGAATAACAACGTTGTTTCCCCAGGAAATGATGCGTTTCCTGACTTATGAAACACTGAGCTAAGATTAGAGAGGCAGAAAAGGCAACTGGGAAAAACATTTACCCGTTAACTTCTGTGACACACCTTTTCCATAAAAATACAAGCACAAGTAGATATTTTAAAATAATCTTTTTAAAGAAGTAGTCTCTGACGTTGACTGAAATGTGTTGTTGTAGACCACTGAATTTGTTTGTTTCTTGGATTAAAAACAAAAAACTTTAAAGGTTCAGTATGTATGTATTATAAAATGTTATATCATAAGGGTACCATAAAATTATATATTTTTTATTGGTAAAACCGTTAATTCAAGTATAACTTCACAAGTTGCTCAACATTCATTTAATTTTTTTTTTATTATAGGCGTTCCCATAAACTTACTACTTTATTCTTGTATTACAACTTTATTCTAATTTTTCTTTCACTTTATTTTCATAACACTATAACTGAATCACCATAATGTTATGACTTTATTCTCTCAATAAAAATAAATCTTATTAGGGCCAAACTATCATATTAGGCAGAATATAATCTCAACAAATGGATTCCAAAGAATTTCACAAAAAGAGCAAAATGGTACCAAGAATAAAGCCTTGTGGAACGCCACATGAAAAGACCGAGAAAAGCTAATTCACCTGTTTTCTAAGCCTGTTAGAAAAAAATCAACAGTTTTTTGGGTTTAAATTTCTTCATTTAAACAATCCAACATATTGACATAGCAAAATTATAAACATGGAGATTAAATCTCGAAGGATTCCTAGAATGAAGCCTTGTGGAACTCCAAATGACCAACAATCATTTATTGGTCACAGAAACTCCTACTGAAAAATTGGATATGAACTGAATATGATTGATGGTTTGTAAAGAGATTAAATGTAAGATTCTGACTCTTACTCTAACTACTACAGCACTCAAGCCCAGAAGAACCAAAACAGAAGGATTTCATGAGTCAAAAATCAAACAGTAACTGCAGAACTATGATGTCTTTTAAAGCTGCAGTGTGCAACTCTTATTTAAAAAAAAATGTTTTTACATGTCTGTTAAATTACTATGTTGTGACAGTTTATGAGACAGATACTCTCCCTGAGCTGCTGTTTCCATCTGAAGAAATGCATCACTCTGACCAAAAACAACCAATCACAACCAAGGGGAGGGTCTTAGTGCTGTCAATCAATGTCATGTACTTGTAAATATGCTAATGGCAGAGAAACACCTTAGTGTGACAGAAAAAACATTTATCCAATGTTATTGTTGGGCATGCCAACTAGCCTTAGCATTCAGTGGCGCCACATGAAGGGTGATTGACAGCGATAAGCCCCGCCTCCTGGCTCTGATTGGTTGTTTCTAGTTACCACTGGGAGAACCCAGAGAAGCTCCTTTTTTCTTTTTTTTTTTTTTTACAGATTATTTGTCTCATAACGTTCTGTCACAGGATAACAGTTTCAACAAATGTGTAGAAAATATTTTTATAAAAGTTACATACAACTTTAAAAGCAGTGAAAAATGGGCAAACAAGGTTTAATTCTGTTAAATTGAGACTATCCTTTGAAACACAAACACTTAAGTTACCAAATCTTTTCTTTATTTGGTACAAGACTGGGATTTTGCTGACAGTAATTGCAAAAATACATTATTCATATACACCTCTAGTAAAAATCACACTATGGAAGACGTATCTAAAAATATACAGTAACAGCAGAATAAAAAACAATTTGCAGGAGGAGGAGAGAGAAGAAGAGGCGGGGGTTTATTTTACATGGTTACTGAGGAATGCTAA